TCATTAAACAAGGTATTGTCATTCACGTATAGAAGCTTCTCCTAACCATGCAGGTTCAAAAATGTAGTACAAAGAAAACAACAACAACAACAGCAAAACACGATTAACACTAGTAGGAGCATCAGGCATGCAGTCAACGTTTTCTACGAGGAACACCTTTGGGGCGCGCACTGAGTGTCCGTCTTATAAACAGTCAAATAAAGGGATCAGAGAAAGGAAAAGACCAACAGTAGATGTCCGTTTTACCGAGATACCCTTCTTATAGAAATTTCCGTTAAGACAGAGTCGACTGTATCATCTCCCGTATAATGAGGACTCCACCCTGCGATCAGAGCCTCCTTTTGTCTTCTTGATCGAGGAGGAGAAAAGGAGGCCCTCTCTGAAACGCGTCAAGCCTTTGAGGTCGCCGCAGCCCTTCGTATTTTACTGTCTTACAAGGTATCAATAATCTCGAAACTTAAGGGTCATACAAAAAGAGGTTAATCTCGAGAATCTAAAATTTTTAATAAAATCCATCGAGCGGTTTCAAAATTATTCGCTCAGTATTTGTTTAAGAAGACCAAAAATGTTTACAAAAGAGAGCGCCTCAGTACATATTAATCAAATCCTTCTTTCTACATCGCTCGCTTTCACTCACGTTTTTAAAGACAAATAAAATTTCACTTCAAAAGCGCTTCGTTTTCTATAGATAACGGCCGAACATGAACTATAAAACTGTTTATGGTACGGCAACCAAAATTACGAAGAGTGATACGATGTACCCAACATTTCCAACATCTAGGTCTACATGTAACTTGATTGACACAATTAAGTGATTTGACGTTTTTATGATACGGTCATTTTTGTTTGTCCCTGGGAAAGGTCCTGTTAGGGCAGGAACCCAGTTAGGGTAAATTCCGACAATCGAAATAGCCTTTGAACAGGCACGTTCGTCTCAAAGTCTATGATTTATTATCACACTAGGGATATCCCACACGACTGTCCGTCTCTTTGTGTTATAAGAACCCTTAAAACGAAGTTTGTTTTGCCTAAGCTTTCCTCTGGATCCAGTTCTTCATCACGATCATCAGCGTCTTGTTGTGCAGATTTGCAATGGTACAATTAGTACAGAAGTTTACTGCCAACAAAAATATAGAACATTTAACAGTTGCTGAACATGAAACCGAGCACAACTTAATAAATTTACGACAAATTTGTAATTTACGGATTCAAAGATTATTTATTTATTTGGGCCTGAAATGATGGATATCCTTTGTGGTTGTATTTCCTACCATCGCCGATTTCCTTCTTTTCTTGGTCGTTTTGCACGGCCTCTACACAACACAACACAAACGTAATGCAAATTAAAAGAAGGGCCGGGGCGCTCCACAAAATCGCCATCATCTGCGAAGGAAGGAGTACTTTTCAAACGCAGATTTACATATATTTCTATTAGATTCCAAAGCTTTCCATATCAACCCCTTACATATTTCAAATACGCATGTTTTAAACGACTAGGCCGCTTGAAGTGATGACCCTGTTTTGGCCGAGCGGTCAATGCCAACCACGACTTCTTTCAAGTTCGACGACTTCGAAGCCCGATTTACATGGTTTATTTTTTCATTTTCCCAACCTATTTTCGACTTCCAGATAGAGTAATATATAGTTTTAGCTAGGGCTAAAAGCAAAGCTTCCATTAATAACTTTATAATTTAGATCAAACAATTAACTTGTATTCCACAATTCAGTTAACTTTAGAGCACATTCATGTGACTTTTTAGGGAAAGGTCAAGTGATTTTAGAGAAAAATAATTTGCAAACAGCCCAAGAGTGAACCAAGTCTTACTTCAAGTTGATAGCCTCATATGTACACCCAAAAACTGGTAATCATCTTCAATCACATTTTAGAGCCATAATGGATCTTGATCACTGTTGATTAATTAGGCCAGGAAAAAAAATCAGGCCGAATTTTTAGCGTTCGACAAGTTTACTTTACAAAATCTTGCCAACAAACTTCTGGGTGCGTGTAAACCAACCTTTTATACCATTTATACATCACATCTGAGGTGAAACAGTGCTATGAGGCACTGTCTTTATCATACAGACCTCGGACAGAATGCAGTATTTCACAGTTTTGCAATACAAATTGCACTCCGCCAATGGCCGAATTTATACTAGAGACGAGTCATTCGTCTAGACAGATTATTCGTCAGACGGATAATTCGTCTAAGTATAAATCCGAAGAAGAATTTTGCTCCATAATTTGTCTAAATATTTTAAGTGGGAAAACGACCGCGGGAAATAGTAAACGTTGCCAAAATAGAGAAACCGGTCCCTCTCATGTGGAAACTCCGTCAAAAAACCGTCTACGTTTCATCTAGATATAATTTAGAGACAGACGAATCAGGCTCAGAATTTTGCTTCATAATTCGTCTTAGCACTGAATTTATACTATAGACGACTTATCCGTCTGAGACGGGTAATCCGTTTAAGTGGATAATTCGTCTCTAGTGTAAATTCGGCCTATATTCAGGACGATCGAAGCACGCCTGGGTTTTTAGCTAAACCGTTAAAAAAATTTCCAAAGTCACCTATATTAATTATGCAATCCGCCATCCTGTAGAGTCCCGCAACCAAGAGCCTGTAGGACTTAAACTTGAGAAACACCTGTTGCTTGTTATATGTTCTTTGTATGTTTTCCTCTGTCTTAGGGGATCCTGCGGCTGCTGACGACATCGCTCTGTACAAAGTAGAATGCCGAGATGGGAGGAATATTGAATCTTCCAGCTCAGAGTTAAAAGGCGTTTTTACCTCCCAATGGCCAATCCACCAGTCCTTTTTTTTCCCTTAAGTAAAAGATCATGGAATGTTTCTGTCTTAAGGAGCTTTCCAAATTATATTACTACGACGGCTATAACGATGCTGATCATAATGTCTGCCTGAGATTTTTTAGAAGTTGTTCCATCGAGTACAGCAACTGGCGTAGTTTACCGCGGCTCTATACTATCGTCCAACCAGACAGGGACACTCTGAAACGTACATCTAACCTCGTGTTACCGATAATCGAGTTTTCCTAGTTAACAAGTCCAACGATGGAATGGCTCTTAAACCAGCTCTGCGATATGTGCCATTTATCCACAGAATTGTAGGGTTAGAGGACCCGAATTTTTTTCCTTTTTCGACATTCAAAAGGTTAATCAGATGAGTGAAGGGGAATTGATAAAACTGCTCAAATCTTTAGATTTTGTCACCAAAGCACAGGGTTCCGAGTTAGTAGCATAGACGGTAAAGTTTCGTTTCCTGTCGGCTGCTATTACAGGGCGAGCAAAGGAGGAGCACCACGAATTGAGCACTATGATAACGACAGCCGCAAGGTTGTGCAGACATGCAAACATTGTCTTTTAAATGGGACTGAAAGTGTGGTTTCCTGTGAAAAATGCAAAGAAGAAGGAATTGTGTGCGACGAATGTGAACAAGTTGGGCATACAAGTATAAAGCCGATAGAACGCAAGTGCATTCGTTGTCAGGTTAGCAAGTTGGAGTGATATCGATTACAAGAGTTGTCATGGGTGTCTGACTCAGAAGCCTCCCAGAGAAGCCATATGTCTAGTATCACAAATGAAGACACTAGAGTTCCTGTTCCAGACCCTCCGCACGTTCTTAAGCTAGTAAGGAGTGGGCTCTTCAATTATTGGGTTCTACACGGAAACTATCTCATTAATCTGAAGCTGCTGCGTTCTGCCAGGGAGGATTCCAACCAGGCTATTTCCAAGCCAATTGCACAGTCACTTCCCCCAGCTGTATAAGCAACAAAGATCAAATGAACATGGCGACTGCTGTAGGCCTCTTTAAAGAGAACCTTTTAAATGTTTTTGCCATATGACCCATTAATTTGCACCCTTGTTTCAGAACAGGACAGACTTTGGCGGCAAAACCCAGCTAAGAGCATCTCCAAATTTCCCACCGCAGTTTCTTCAAAACACAGCATCCTGATCATTACAGATACAGCGAAATCAACGGTGTACATGGCGAATATGCACAACCGGGTGTGCATCATTCCGATTGCAGGTCCAGGTGTTGGAATTTGCAGTCCAACTGGCTTGGCTATTGTTGCGAACTCTGGCGCGCAGACAAGCTTTAAAGTTGTTGACATCGCCCCAATTTTAAAAAAGAGTAGAGCGATGCTACAGATTGAGTTGGACAATGGTGACGAAATTGGAGATGAAGAAGCCGTTATCAGGACAGGGAGAGTTAAGGTTCACGACATCCAGCTTTGGTCAGACAAGCACAGAGAATTTAAACCTTGGCAAGATTATTTCATTAACGTGTGAACCAAATGGTCAAAGAGAGTAAATGACTGCTAACACTACTTTGTCTGGATTGTCTTGCAATAAATCCATTTACCAGTTTTGCGACTTTGGTACAAATCAATCGCACAACCGATTCAAGATGAGAGCCGAGAATTACTATGCCTTTAGCGGCGGCAAACAACCGTTATGCATATACCAGGGTCTTGATGGAATTTACGTCAGTCTCCACAACAAGGGCATCCGATGCGTAAAGCAACTTAACCAGGTCCGAGTCATTGATGTCTTTGACAAAGCACCATCTTTAGTACTATGTATGACGAAAACCTCCGAAAAGCTAGTATTCTCCGATGCATCTGACCACACTCTTAATTATTTCGTTTATAGCAAAGTGACTGTAACATTGGGTGAATAAGAAGGTTTTCGAGATGGTTACTCACCTTGCTTCAACTCTCCATCACGCATCACGTCATATCAAGAGAACATCCTCTTTTGCGACGTGAACGACAAGACCCTGCGTTTGATGTCAAGTATGAGTGTTTACAAGCAATTTGGCGGGCAGCTCCCGGCCTTTATAGGCCTTTTCAATCTAGATCAAGATTTTGCCTACCAGGGAGCGGGGCTAACACTGGACAGAGGAATTGCGACACTGAAAGACCTTGCGACCACAACGAACACCAGAGAACGAGCAGCTTACTTTTGCACAGGGAAGCGATGCCCTCAGGGCCCAGATCTGGCACTCACGAACCTTCCAGAGATTCCTTTTCGATGCTTCTGAAGTCGTTTAAGAAAGTAAGGGAGATTCTTGATGACTTTGACCACTTGAAAGAAGGGCTTTTGTTTTCTTCCTTCACTCCCTTAGATTTGGAGCAATTCTTTACTGGAATTAGAACACCCGCTCGCCCAACCCCCGACATGAACGACTACGCATCGCGGAGGCCCAGCTGCATTTTAGAATCTAAAGAGAGGCTATACCAATCCTCGCTAACCTTTTATACCGGTCCTCAAAGCCATCACACACATAGAAAGCTGGGTCTAAAGGCACCGGAATGGCTTCGAAAGTCCCACGGCAAGAGTAACGAGGATGTGGACGAAGAAACAAGCGCGGAGGAAAAAGAGAGACAAAAGAAGGCATTGCAGGGCTTTGCGAAAGAATTCGGACGGGGTATACGACAGCAAAGAACAAGAGGGAAGACCAAAGAAAGACCTGGTACACTTCCACCTGCTCTGAGTGTGTTCAGAAGGAATGCGTCGGCACATGGAGAAGTCGACCAGCTGAAAGAGGTTCAAGGGAGTGAAGGACAAACTACAGTTCATGACGCCGTCGAGGAATATGAGATTATCTTTTCAAAAGGCGATGTAGTTACTCTCAAGCACAACTACAAGAGGTATATCATTCCTTTCTTCCTTGCAGTTCTTTCAGAAGACCTCCACCATAACGGTGACGCATTCCTGGAAGATCGAATGAGTTTGAGATGGCTGGAATAGTCAGATGAAGATCCCCTTGTATACAAGACTGGGTACCAGGACGATAGGAATTCACCTGATAGAGTGTTTCATCGGGAAAGTTGAAAATAATAAAAGATGGAAGCATTTTCTGTTTGAGTCGCCTTGAAGAACAACGCCTAGTTGCATTGCTCCAGGGGTCAGTTGAATCAGATGATTCATCTGAGTCAGGTGGTGACGAAGAGGAAGGGTAGCAAGCTCAGGTGGACAACTTTTTAGAGCCCATTAGATTCGAAGCTGGAAGGAGTAGGTCTGGAAGACCTACAACCAGATATGTCCTTTGACAATCTAGTCATTAAATCAGGAAAAGCCAATGGTGGGCTTGATACAGAAAAGCTGTTGAACTCTAGAACCTGTGGCCTGCATCATTTAATTTTGTACTTTATCTAAGGCAGGTCGTTTGCTCTTGGTAATTGATCTACACCCCAACAACATCAACAGGGATGGCGGAAAAGAAATTCCAGAAGTTTGGTTGCCCTTAACCAAGAAACACAGCAGTAGGAAATCCGTAAGACAGCAGACCAGCGAGGGAACAGCTCATACAAAACGCACCAATCTCAGCAGTTAAGCACCGACCAACCAGAACCGAGCTTGGAGTCATATAAGTTCAAAGTGTTGCAATTACTGATAAATACTCGCAGTACACAGTTGAAACGTCGAGATCTACATCATTAAGTGACTACATCGTGAGACAAACGATTACACTTTATCAATATTACTGTAGACCACTAACGCTTGTCAGCCAGAGGAACCAGAGGTAAAATATTTGGTAGCAAGAGATAGGACATTAAATTTTTATTAACTGGACAATTTATCCGGGCAAGTAGATATTAGTACTGTACAGGAACTGGAAAGCTAGAGAAAGACCTTCGTTCAGAAGTACCTTCCAGTGCTGTTAATATTCAACCGGGGACCAACCACTGTTATTGCTGTTGGGCTAAAATTATACTGATTTATTCAATTTTGAATCTTATGCTTTCTTGTGATTGGCTTATTAACCTGCCTTGCTAGTATGATCATGAGCAACACTAATAATAAACCTTGGTAAATACTCTTGGTGAACGTAGCATATGAAAAGCTCAACTTTCCGCCGCAAGATCTTTCAAGACGTGCGATAGAGAAAGGGAAGTGACCTACTTTTAAGTTATAGATTAACAATAATGCACAGAGGTTAACTCATCTATATCTTTCATAACGAGCCGCACCGCCTTAGCAACCAAAAAAATTTTGTTTATCCAGCTGAGATAGGGGACTAAAAGTCCCCTATCTCAGCTGGATACTCAGAAGCTTGTAACATTCACTATTCCATTTATCTCTGATCATATTTCGCATCTAACACGATAGAGGCGTCAATTTTCGCGCCATCATGTCATCATTCTAGGGCGAGAAACTTAATTAAAAGCGCGGCATTCAACAAATGTACGGCTCAGGTTTCGGCTAAAATTATTCGGTGCCGTCAAAGAAAAAAACATGTTATTAAGGTCAGCGTATAAAGTCGATCACATTGCTAACACAGACAAAAACGCTTAAATATCTCCTACAAAATGAACGGCTGAGTTTGTTTTTTCTACGGGTCAAACTGCTACTATATATCCCAGAAGCGCTCAGGCATAATTATATCATGCCAGGACTTCTACCTGGATGAACCAGAAAGGATATAGAACAACTTCCTAATTGTTTTTT